AAATTGGAAAATTTACTGCGATGATCATACTTCACTTTAATCTCGTAGAACGTTCGTTATAGAAATCTGCTGTGCGGGAGCAAAGTCCAGTGGCTTCACTTAACCAGATTTGCATTGTCCTTGCCAGCAAAAGCGTATACTAAATATGTGCTGATTGAATAAAACAATGAAGAACCATTCAACCTTTAATCATTGTAAGCTCTGTTAAATTTACATTCTAGACTCTACTTCGTTTTTGGAGTGTTTGTATTTGGACAATGTAGAATGTTGCTATTAATTCTACAAAGGCCAAGCACTGCTCATGAGCTGAGATTGCATAATTAAAGTGCATGGTACCTATGTGGTTATTGGAGAGCCTTGATTGAGTGTTTCTCTGCAAAGTAATGTTTCCTATGTTTTAAGAAAAATTAGTTGGAACATTTGCTTGAACCGCTAACAAGTAAGCTGTTTGTGGCATTTTTGTTCGATGTAGTTTTGACATGCAGGAATCACAACTGAAAACGACAACATAAAAGATTTTGCTCACTCTCATCAGACTCCTCTCCGCTCGGAAAGCGAGCTTAAAATGCATACATGTAGGGCTGTTTCGACTTTAAGCGAGATCATTTACTTCTTTCCATATAAATCTGTTTGTTTTGAAATTCCAATTTCAGGGTAGCTAATATTTCAGACATTCTAAAGGGTCATCCCTTATGCATACGTTGCAATCATATGAAGTGGAAGAAGTTGTGTTCCAACCCTGGATTTTAATATTGACAAAAGAATGTGCATTTTCATTGTAATGGAAATTTTATCATGTAACAGAACTGTCTTCTGTGCTTGTTGGTGACATTCTTATTCTCTGCTACCTCCTCAATCAGAAAGACATTTCAATTAATCATTATATCCTTTATTGGTTAACATGGGGTCTCCCACATAAAAAGAATTCTGTGCATTTTTTTGTGAGATATAAATGAAATACAGTGGTTAAAATATACTCAGTTCCTAAATCTCTACCATATCTCCCCTCAAAATATCAAAAATAAATAGTATACTGTCCTTGTGTAAAGTTGGAGAGTTTTGTTGAACTTGAAGATACATTTAGCACTCTTCGCTTCTATATGAAGTTTTCTCCTGCTGGAATGATTTGCACCATATCTCAAAGTAAGTATAAGCAAGGTGGAAAGAAATGAAAACCAATTTTTCGGGCACACCCTTTGAGCAAGCCATAACTGTGATCTACTTACCTAAAAGTGATTCTCGCTAGCCCCAATAATTTCACCTCTCACCGAGTACCTCTGTAATTTGAATTTCCTCCAAAAAATTATCAAGGAACTACCAGGCCTTGGGCTATCGGTAATAAATTCAGGAGCTAAAAGTTATTTTTCTTGAGTCAAACTTAATCTTGTAGCAAATCCTTCATGTATTAGGAATTGCTGTTTTTCCTTGGCTAATACGCCTTACAGGCAATACATACTTAAATAATTAGGCTATTTAGTGAAATTCTGGATTCTAATTGGCTTGAAATAAAATTAATAATGCTAAAAAAACATTCAATTTAGGACTCAAATCTTACCTAACCTGGCCTCAAGTATGTGTACCAGCTCTAAATCGAATTTAAAGTGTATGCTTACAAGAAAGTTCAGCACATGCATCATGTTTATCAGTACCATTCACGTAATTGCGTGAATTACTTTATTACACTTGTCAAAATACATATTTGGATAAGTAGGAAACGTGGTGTAACTCCTAATCTAAGTGCTTTTAAGGAAATCGTCACAGTGAAATTTAGAGCTGAGAAATATATAGTTATGAAAAACAACACAGAACTTAACTTTCAGACTAGATGACAGTCGTATATAAAATGCATATTAGAAACTTAATTGATTGTATGAAGTCTTATTTTTATTTTAATAAATTATAATAACAGCACACGTAAATTATTGATGTTAGTAATGTTAAGTGTTATTAAGAATATGTATTGTTTTCGTTTTTGAACCTCACAAGGTTAAAATAAAAGTGGAAAAGTGAAAAAAAATCTCGTATCATTGTCATCTAAAAGCCATTTTTACTTGGATCAGAAGGGTGGTTTACTAGACGATTAATATTTCTCGCTTCTTGTGGAAAACGGTGCACGATTAATCTTTCTTTACTCTCTTGGTGAAACCTTTAACATGACTTGTCCAGGAGAACAGGTGAGAACAAAAGTAGCAACAAAATCCGCTGGAACCTGCAAAAGGAAAAGAAAACTGAATTATATGCACAGCAATACTGAATTATACATTTCTCAGTTATCTACTATTTTGTATATTTTTCCCATTTGAAATCAATAAAGATTTGATTGATTGTTTTGCTAACATGTTAATTTTAGTAGTTTTCATTTGAGAGTGGAAGCGTCATTGGGTATGCATCGCTGCGCTACGCGATTGGCTTACAGTGAGACTATTCCAACCAAGGCCACTTAAGCAAATTCTTTGCAAATTGACCACTGGCATTTTAGAAGTTTTATAATAGTTGCTAATCAAAATGAACACAAATCTGTTGCCATTGTAATGTATAGCTTGATTACATCGATAGTTTGTTGGAAAACTATTGTTAACCTCCACGATTTTTACTCGTTAAATTTGTAGAAAATTTTGTCGGGCGGTCCTGGTTAGAGTAGTCGCAATGTAACAATCTCGCTCAACTTTTTCATTCAATCAGAAGTAAACCCCCGACAAATCGTGGTTCCGTCGTTTGCACACGTTTTCCGGCGCTTCGCGTCAGATATATGTAATTATTTCGAGTCTTGATTGGTTCATTGGATTGTCTGTGTCCTTTGTGATTGGCTGGTGTAATGATACTTTGTTTCTGGTTTAACCGCTATAAAATCCGCTCCAAAACCCACACATAATCAGTACGTTTTGTTATGGAAACGCCATCTCGATTGGATCCTTTGAACAGTACAACCAATAAGGAATGGGTAAATATTCTATTATGCTTCTCAGAAGTTAGGCCGTAAAATATTAGGTTTGCGCGTTGGATAGCCCGGATCCAACCAAAGAAAGAAACATTTCCTGTCAAAGAAAAGATGTTGATCGGCAGGACACTTTGCCACCAAATCCATCAGCAGGCTACCAGGTGAATCCCCAACAAGGTTCCAAGCTAACATACAGTGGTCTAATTATATTACAAAACTTTGCACTAGAATTTAGAAGAAAAATCTAATCGGACAAAAAAGGACAAGAAAGAAAGGATGAAACCGGCTGAAGTGAATATAGAATAGAGCTAGCTTTAGGAAAGGTAAGAAGGGTAGCCCCTGCCCAAGACAGAGAAAACTGTAGACAACTAAAAAAATATGAGGCAATCTTACCGCTGTTTTCTCAGTGCGCTCTAGCTTGTATTTCTTCAGTAACCTCACCAGGGTCAGTTTAATTTCCAGCAAAGCAAATCTCATGCCGACACAGTTGTGAGGACCATATCCAAATGGCAAAAATGTATAAGGATGACGCTTTGATTTTTCTGCTTCAGTGAACCTATCAAGACGGAGAAATTCTTTGAAGGAACTTTTCGTAACTAACTTAAGGGTGAACACGTTTAAGTAAAAGGGAATGGTTGGATAGAAGACAGCCAATTTCCACAACAAACGCCATTATTACTTCGTAAAAATAAAATGAAAAACAGTGTTACCGGTTTTTACTCCAACGACGCTATGCTAAGGAAAATATCTGAGAGTGTTGGGATAAATGAAGCCCCAGAGG